GCCTGGAGAATCCCAGGGATGGCGGAGCCTAGTGGGCTGCCGTCTATGGGGTCGTACAGAGTCGGACATGACTGATGTGACTTAGCAGCAGCAGAATAGCATCAGGGCTTCCCAGCTGGCACTAGTAAAGAATCACCTACCAATGCAGGAGACAGACATAAGAGACGCAGGTTCGAACCCTGGAGGAGGAAATGGCAACCCATTCCAGTGTTCTTGCCTGAAGAATCCCATGGACAGAGGAGCCTGGTGGGCTACAGTCTGTATGGTCACAGAATCGGACACGACTGAAGTGACTTAGCATGCATGCACACAGGATTGCATCACCGACTCAATGGACATGAATTTGAGCAAACTCCAGGGGACAGTGGACGTCAGAGGAACCTGGCATGCTGTAGTCCATGAATTTGCAGAGAGTCGGACCTGACTTAGTACCTGAACAACAAAGGCTAAGCTAGTATGTTTTCCTTGTGGCTCAGCTGGTAAAGAATCCACTTGCAATGCGGGAGACCTGGATTCCATCCCTGGGTTGGAAAAATCCCCCGGAGAAGGAAAAAGCTCCCCACTCCAGTATTCTGGCCTGGAGAATTCCATGGACTATATAGTTCATGGGGTTGCAAAGAGTCGGGCAAGACTGAGTGACTTTCGCTCCTTAGGTTAGGTGAAATAAATTTTCAGCTTCAATTATTTTCAACTTATGATGGATTTATTGGGACATAGCCCCATTGTAGGTCAAGAAAGATGTGTATGTACATACACAATGTGTATATGCATACCTTCCCTTCTCCTCACACTAATTATGTGTATGTATTTTCAGAGGGGTCACCTTAAAATGAAGGAATGCAGAGCTGACAGCGACTTTTCAGACAATGGCCAAGAAGTGTGAACACTAGTTGCGTGACTTTGTCTGGTTCAAGGCACTTAACCCCTTTGTGCCTCAGCTTTCTCTTCTGTAAATGGGGAAAATAGGATGGTTTCATAAGATGTTGTGAGAAATAAGTGAACCAGTTTATACGGACTAGTCGTTGCCATTGTTATTTCAGAAGCACATTTTAAAAATTTCAAATATTTATTTTTATTTGTCTATATAAGCTCTTATTTGTGGCATGCCGGACCTTTTGTTGCGGCATGTGCGATCTAGTTCCCTAATCAGGAAAGGAAACTGGGCCCCCTGCATTGGGAACATGGAGTTTTAGCCACTGGATCACCAAGGAATTCCCCAGAAGGACTTTTAGAGACGATCCAAACACTGCATGCTTCCTCCAATGTACAGATGAGGAATTTGATGGTCCAGAGGAGTAAGTGAGAGGGGCTTCCCTGGAGGCTCTGATAGTAAAGAATCTTCCTGCAGCGCAGGAGACCCGGGTTCGGTCCTTGGTTTGGGAAGATCCCTGGAGAAGGGAATGGCTACCCACTCCATATTCTAGCCTGGATAACAGAGGAGGTAAGTGAACTTCCTGTATTTGTTTTCTCTGTTACATAACTAATTACCACAAACATAGCAGGCTGTAACCACACTTTTTATTGTCCCAGAGTTTCCATGGGTCAGGAGTCCAAAAGGACTCCCAAGGCTGTCATCAGGTGTCAGTCAGGGCTGCAGTCTCTCCGAGGCACGTGGCTGCTGGAAGAGTCCATGACCTCGTAGCTGTAGACCTCATGTTGCTTGTTCAGGGCCAACAAGAGAGCATCACTCTCTTCAGGAAGCTTCCAGACCCTCTTTGACATATCTTCAACTGTTTTCCTTTAGCCACGGACTTTATTGTCTGAATATTTGCAACTATTATTCTATACACAAATTTAATTTCTTACAAAACTCTATATTGCATATTGGTAGGTCACTTCACTCTGCATTTTATGCCACATTTCCATCAAGAAGTATTTCCCTGAATCAAAATCTGCCTGGTTGTGGTGGTTGTTGTTCAGTTGTGAAGTTATGTCCAGCTTTTTGTGATGCCATGAACTGTAGCCTGCCAGGCTCCTCTGTCCATGAGAATTCCCAGGCAAGAATACTGGAGTGGGTTAACCATTTCCTTTTCCATGGTAATGTCCCTTTTTACTCACTCAAAAGCTAATTTCGAACCTTTATTACATCTGCAGAACCCCTTCGCCTGTGCTGCCCAATGTGACCTTCCCATCCATCATATTTGGAGATCATGCCCACACTCAAGGGGAGGGAATAGACAGGTCATATATACTAGAGAGGTAGAAATATTGGGGGCCATCTTGGAATCCTGACTCTCCCAAACCACATAACAGATTATTGGCAAGGAGAAATCTGTTTGGCCTGAAGGCCTCCCCACACCCCAGAAAGACTTCCTCGTCCAGGGGTCAGCGCTTCCTCTGCCTCAGAAGACTGGCAGGATCATGAACAAAGCTGGCCCAATGTTGTCCAACACTGCTTTGAATCAATCCCCAGCCCAATTCTCAGAAATAATATACCAGTTTCCACTCCAGGTTAGCATTCCAGGTAAATTAACCCCTGTGGAGTTGACCCTGTGGAGTGGTACTATAAGAACCAGCCTTTAAGATGGTGTCTGAGTAGTCTTGCCTCCTGGTATTCCTACCGTCCTGCAGTCACCTCTCACAGTGAATAATAAGGTTGACTCCTGTGACCAATGAGATTTAGTAGAAATGAAAGTGTGTAACTTCTGAGCTTCCACCTGGCTCTCTTAGATGACTCTCTGGGAAAAGCCACCTGCTCTGACAAGGGGATGCTCAAATCAGCCCTGTGGGGGTCATCATGGCAAGGGACTCTTATCAACAGCCAACACCAACTTGCCAGACATGCACGTGCACCATCTTGGAAATGGATCCTCCAACCCAGTCAAGCTTTCAGAAGACCGCCACTCTGGCCAGCAATTTGACTACAATCCTGAGACCCCAGAGCCACCTAGCTCACTCCGGATCCATGGGAACTATTTTTTGTTGTTTACTCGCTCAGTTGTGTCCAACTCTTTGTGACTCCATGGACTGTAGCCTGCCAGGCTCCTCTGTCCACGGGATTTTTCAGGCAAGCATACTGGAGTGGGCTGCCGTTTCCTTCCCCAGAGGCTCTTTCCCACCCAGGGATAGGACCCACATCTCCTATGTTGGCAGGCGAATTCTTTAGCTCTGAGCCACCAGGGAAGCCCAATGTGGGAACTCTGTGAGATATTTATGTTGCCATAAACTCCGAGTTTTGGGGCAATTTAACACAGCAATAAAAGATACAGGGTCTCTAGAACCTAGAACCTACCTAACCCAAAAGAAGTGCTTGTAATGAGAATAAAGTGCCACTTATGGAGCGCTTCCTAGGGACCAGGTTCTGACCTACAACCCCAGAGGATGCTGGAGACCAAGACAATGGCTAATGAAGCTGAAATCCAAGTCCTGGGAGGGGGGGGGGGGGTCTGACCCAATCTCACACCATCCAACCTAGCCCTGCCACACTTGACATGTTCTATATCTACTCTATAGATAGATATAGCCATCAGCTACATGTGGCTCTTGAGTACTTGAAATGTGGCTGGTGCCATTGAGGAACTGAATTTTAATTAATTTTAACTTAAATAGTTGCATGTGACAAATGACCACTGGATTGGATAACACAGATAAAACAGATGGGAGGGCTTCCTGCAGGATTCCAGTTGCAGACTTCCCTGGTAGTCCAGACTCTGAGCTTTCACCGCAGGAGAAAGCTCATGGATTTGATCCCTGGTCAGGGAAGGTCCGCATACCACACAGTGCAGTCAAAAAACAAATAATAGATTCCAGTTGCAAGTGCGGAGACCCACTCAAGCTTCCTGGGCCTCAGGAGGGATCTGAAAACAGACTCCCTACTTCAAAGGGAGTGCAGCCTGAAGAGGCCCTGGGTGACATAAACTCTCTGATGGGCAGTGATGAGAAACTCCAGAGCTTGACTGCAAGGGTTCAAATCCCGCCTGTACTGTTGGTAAGCTGTGTCTCTTTGGGCAAGTTATTTAACTTCTTAGCTGCAGTTTCCCTATCTATAAGAAGGAACTACTAATGGCACCTACTTTGTTGAATTATTGTGAAGATTGAATGGGTGCAGGTATAGACGACAGAATGGGTTCCTGGCAGGCACGTTTGTGATGTGAGGGTTTCCTTCTACTACCAATTCTTCTTTGCATCCTTTCCTTGACCCCAGTGAACCACTGGGCCATGAAGCACCAAAGGAAGACCACCAAAATTCAAGCGTGACATGGACTTGGACTCAAGTGCAAGTCCCGGCATGAAGGTTTACGTCTGCACAGACAAGCAAAGTTTGGGTTGCCCTCTTGGTAAAAAGGATCTTACCCACCTCAAAAGGGGCTTCCCTGGTGGCTCAGATGGCTAAGAATCTGCCTGCCATGCGGGAGACCTGGGTTTGATCCCTGTGTTGGGAAGATCCCCTGGAGAAGGGGATGGTAACCCACTCCAGTATTCTTGACTGGAAGATTCCATGGACAGAGGAGCCTGGCAGGCTACAGTCCACGGGGTGGCAAAGAGTAGGACGTGACTGAGCAACTAACACTTCCCTTTTCACCCACCTCAGAGGGTTGTTATGAGGATTAAGGGAGGTGTTATCTGTCCAGAGACCACCAGCTATGATGCCCAGAGGCCAAGGAGGTGACGTGGATAAAACAGATGGACAGACTGGCAAAGGAGGGAGCCTGCATCTAAGTGGGGACCCGCCCATATGCAACTCCCCATGGTTACTTGAGTTGCCAATTCTTGAGTTCTTAACCCCCCACAAGAAAAACAGGGAATATGGATTTTTATGGGAAACATCTTCACTTCCATAGTTGGCAAGGAATCCAAGGATTTCTGTGTTTGTTTTTTAAACATGGGGCCGCCTAAACAAATCTCCGAGGTAGGCAGGACATCTTTCCTCCTTTCCCGGCCCTTTCTTGGCTTCTTATATATCTCTGCCTTCCGGGGTCTGGCAGCAATTATCTCAGGATCCGCTGAGATCAAGGGAAAGGATGACGTCTGATGAGCTTTGAAATGATGAAGGCAGGCGATCTAGAAAGTACCAGGTTTTATTATCTTTTTATCAAAAAACCAGTAACAGACAACAATGTGAGGTGCTCACTCCCAACATGGCCAGAGGAAAAGGGACATGGGGGGAGGAAGAGGACCCAGCCAGCTGGGACCCTGGGGTCACAGAAGGGGAGGGAAGCAAGGGTAACTCCCCCAGTCTCCCCATGGGGTCAGGAGATGTGGCCTGGCCAGCCTGAGCCACTAGGCCTCTCCTCTCTGGAGAGGATAAGCCCCAGAGCCAGGCCCTGATCAGCCCTCCCCGTCCCCCTTTAGAGGGACAAAGGTCATCCTAACCAGGCTGAGCCTGTGACTTATTAAATCAGTTTAGTTCTTGAGCTGTGCTGTTAACAGATGCTAGTGGGATCTACTTGTCTGTCTGGTACACCAGCCACCGGCCCCACGTGGCCGCTGAGCACTTGAAATGTGGATCAGTATAACTGAGGAATGAACTTTAACTTCCTGTCATTTTAACTGATTTCAGTGTGGCCTGCACTTGCCATGTTGGATAGCACAGCTCTCCGATCTTCTGTTAAATTTGGAGATCGCCAATGAAGGTACCCCAGCTGGGCTCAGAGCAAAAGCTAGAGAGGTTTCCAGCCCAGTCGGGAGAAGGCACCAAGAAACAGGACCAGAAAAAGAGGCAAAAATCCACTCAGCCCCGCAAACATTCACTCACTCAACCACCCAGCCAACTTCACACAGGAATATATCACACTATTTCCTGAAAAAATATATTTATCTATTTTTCTAGAACCAAGGAAGAATAATAATATATTATATGAAAGAGACACAAATATCCCACCATCCCCTACGTTATAGTTTGGGATCTGCTAAAAAAAAAAAAAACTATTTCAGCAAAAGCTTCTTAGAGGAAGCAGCTTCAGAAAGGGCCAAGGTCATGAGCAGGGAAGTAGGAAGAATTAAAAAAAAAAAAAAACACACATGGGGAAAAAAGAAAAGAGGCAAAAGAGGGAAAGAAAGGCCCTGTCTGAAGCTATAAATAGTAGTAAAAAAATTAATAAAAATTATATCTCCAACTCTTCTCTCATTTTCGAGTAACAAAAACAAAAACACCATTAAATACAAACTTAGCAGGTACTGTGGAAAGGTGCAAGAGGGCAGAGAAAGCCTTAGCTTCTGTGTGTACTCTTGCCCACGGAGAGAGGCTCTGTACAAAGGAATGAACTATTAAAAAAAATACCCCACTAAAAATAGACTTAAGAATATTCTACAAATCTGATTCAGGATGAACTTTCAGCTCCTCCCCCCCAGATAAAAAAGGCTGACTTCCAAAAGTCACTTGGAAGAGCCTAGAATGTCCCAGGGTGTACCACAGACGCCCACAGTGTGGTTGCAGATGCCTTTGATGGACACATCTCAAGGTGCAGATAGATGGTTCTGGTTCCTTCTCCCAGCTCCTGGCCGAGGGGCCAGGCTGTGGAAGGGGGACAGGAGGGGAAGGCTGGCAGGTGGGGGGCTGACCTCCAGCAAGACGCGTACAATAGCTTAGAAAGACTCTGGATCGGACCTGTTCAGTACAGGCTCTAAGCTGGGCCTACCTAGATTCTAAATGGGAAGATGAAGAAACAGATACAACCCCAGACTTGCCTTGAGAAAGGCCAAGTTTAACCCCGTTTTTCTGCTGGGACAGTGGAGGCCCAGAGAATCAAGAGGCAAGCAGGAACAGTAGAAGGTGATGTCTCTTCTGACACTGAAACTGTAATCGGAGCGGGAGAGGCTGATAGATCAGGACTGGGTTGCCCTCCCCCTCCCCGAACACCCTTCAAAATCCTTCAGTGTCCCTTCCCCCTAAAGTCCAAGTAGGTGCTCCAGGGGAAACTTCAGGCGTAGAACTCATTGGTGGGGGCCTTTTTGTAGATGGGTTTCTTGCCCAGGTCGTAGCTTCCCTCATCCTTCTTCTTCATGCGGTACACGAGCAGCAGGATGAGGAAGACGGCAAAGAGGATGCCCACGACACCGCCCACGATCAGAGCTGCAGAAGAGAGAGGGGAGCAGCGAGGTGAGAGCTGGCTGCGCGTCGGGCCCTCAGGGTACACGGGCCACTTCTGCTCGGTCGGTTCTCTGACCCCTGGACACCCTCACCATCACCCCCAGGGGCATACCCTGCTGATGCCTTACTGAATTTGATCCTCACTCACCACCTCATTCATGAGAAGGCAGTCACTGTAAAACACTAAAAAAACCACAGAACCGGAGTGACAAAGGCATCCTTCCAACCCACATTGCTGGAGTCCAAAGCCAGGTTCTTTCCCAACACGAGGCCAACTCCCCAGCAACAGCTCAGCCCTGAGCCAGGAAGCAGAAAAATCGCAGGCTGTGGAAATCCCCTTAGACCTACTTACCCCACAGTCCTTAGCACGGGGAGCTCTCTAGCTGACCTTGTACGCACACATCCCTGTGCAGACCTACACTTATACCGATTGGGTGGACACACTCTGTACACACGTGGGTATATGCTACTATACACAGTTATAACATGTGCATGTGTCCACACTCCTATGCTATAAAGAATTACACATGTGGTTTGGGACTTTCTGATGGTCTTGTGGTTAAGACTCCGTGCTTCCAACGCAAGGGGCACAGGTTTGATCCCTGGTCAGGGAATTAAGATCCCACATGCCATGTGAAAATGAAAGTGAAGTTGCTCAGTCGTGTCGGACTCTTTGCAACCCCATGGACTAATGTAGCCCACCAGGCTCCTCTGTCCATGGGATTCTCCAGGCAAGAATACTGGAGTGGGTTGCCATTTCCTTCTCCAGTGTGGTGCAGCAGAAAAAAAAAAAAAATTATACACGTGGTTTATATCCCCACATACGAAGCTCTGTGCTTAACGCTTACATTCTATTCCTGTCTCTGCCACTTACTAGCAATGGGATCTAAATAATCAAGTTCCTTCATCTCTCTCATTGTAAAATGGAAACAATAGTACCTTTCTTATAGGTTTGTCCCTAGATTGAAATAAATGAATCCCCTTAAGAGAGCTCAGAACAATGTATAGCATATGCTCAATATTCATTAGTTGTGACTTTCTGTGGTTTGTATCTGTGTCCCTGCCAACCTGAACTGTTCTGGCACAACAGTGGGTGCTTAATAAATGACTCCGTTTGGCTCAGAGAGGAGCACTGGCCAAGAGCAGACGCGGGTTTCTCACTTCGGGTGAACGTATGCTCTCTGTATGACCCCAGGCAGGCTGGAGGGCTCACTCCTGTTTGTTGAGGGGGCAGAGATGTCTCCTAGAATCCTCCCTGTGACAGATTGAGTCCCCTAATTCGGTCTTAGCCTAAGAAGATTAATTTTCCGCCCCTGCACACACTCCAAATCTATGCACAGAATGGGGACGGGGTGGCAGGGGAGCCAAGGAAGGTCCTCTCTTGGCTGAAAAGACGAAAAAGCAGCAACACAGTGCCCCCAGGAAATACCAGAGAAAAGACACGGACCATCAGGTATCAGACCCCCTTCCCATTTCTATCGCCTCTCCCTCTGATGTCTGTTCTGTTAGAACTTTGGTCTGTGCTGGGAGTCCCCAGAAGCTCAAGGCTCAAGGACAGTTTTAGAAGCAACTGTGGTCCTAGGTTCCAATGCCAGGTTCACCATTTGTCTGGTCTTGTGCCTTTGGATAAGAGATAAGGCTTTCTGGAGCCTCATTTTCCTCATTTGTAAGAGCACAGATAACCATACGTGTTGGACTGGGGCGTTGTGGGGACTCAATGAGGGGGCGTGTGAATCATATGGCACATGGCAAGCACTTGATAAACTCCCGGGTTCCAGGGTGGGTTTTTTTGGTCTGTGCTGTGCAGCTTATAGGATCTTAGATCTCCCACCAACGATAGCACCCATGTCCCCTACAGTGGAAGTGCAGAGTCTTAACCGCTGGACCACCAGGGAATTCCACCCCCCACCCCCCACCCCACCAGGTACTGTTTAAAAGCTACCGGAATGGAGGAGCTCATCCCAGCTATCTCAACAATGTAACTTTTCAAATGAAGATCTTACACATGTGTCATTCGCCACTGGAAGTATTAAGAGATGACCGGTTCTCACTTGCTATGTGACCTAAAGCAAGTGGCTTGCTTTCTCCGGGCCTGAATCGCCCATGTTATAAGAAACAGTTACTTGGACTACATCAGTGGTTTTTACATTTTTCTTTAAAAGCAGCAGAACCATTGTTTGGTGAAAGCAAAACCTTATGCTAATCCCACATCCACCAACTAAAAGTGAAACTCTGTGGGTGAAGAAAGATGGGCTGGGTTTTACCTCCAAGACTTCCACCAAATAGTTTGAAACTTACATGACTAAACCGTCTCCAAGGGCCCTCTAGTTTCCCTACCCCGCCCACATCACACAGAAAGTTAAAAGAACACTGACTCAGGGACCTGGAAGTCAGAGTCAGGGCTGAGCCGGGCCCACCGGGGGTTACAACCTGCAAGATGCAGGCAAGATCCTTTAGCTGTCCCGGAGGGAGGCAGGACCCAGGGCTCTTTCTTTGCACCTACAGCCTCAAAGCTGCTGGCCCAGCTGGTTGCCAGGAGACAGGAGTAAGCCAGCCTGCACCACGGTGCCCCCCTCACTAGGCTGGTTCATCCAGACTGGCCCTTGACCTGTAAAAATCTGGCTAGAAAGGGAGTCCCCTCTGAGAAAGTCCCCAACCCAATTTTGGAGACCCCCAAAGCTGCCAGGGAAGAAGAGAAAGAGCCAGTTACCACCCCAGCCGAAGTCCCCATAGTCAGGCTAGACAGAGCCATCCTTGAAGTCTCACCCTGGGACACATCTTTCCCCACATGGCACATTAGTCAGGAAGCCTGTGGCTCCCACTTGAGGCCAAACGTACTCTAAGTGTTGGTTTCTTAACCTGGCACAGAATGTTTCCCTGCAGGCCACCTACTATTTGCTATGCTATGCCATATACTATACTATACTACATACTATGGGGCTTCCTGGTAGCTTAGTTGGTAAAGAATCTGCCTGCAATACAGGAGACCCCAGTTTGATTCCTGGGTCAGGCAGATCCCCTGGAGAAGGGATAGGCCATCCACTCCAGTATTCTTGGGCTTGCTTTGTGGCTCAGCTGGTAAAGAATCCGCTTGCAATGCAGAAGACCTGGCTTCGATCCCTGGGTGAGGAAGATTCCCCTGGAGAAAGGAATGGCTACCCACTCCAGTATTCTGGCCTGAGAAATTCCATGAACAGAGGAGACTGGCTGGTTACGGTCCATGGGGTTGCAAAGGGTTGAACACGACTGAAGGACTAACACACACACCATCTACCACTGGGAACTGTGCAAACGAACATTTTGCAGTCCTCGCCAAGTTATTTTAGATTCTATTTTTCACAAAAAGTTATTACACCAACCCAAGGAAGTAGCACGGTGCCCGTTTGCAGATATGAAAACTGAGGCTGGACAGCATCTCAGCCAAGGTCACCAGGCTGCCAAGCGACAGCAGGCGGAGGGGAAGCCAGCCCAACTCAAAGGAGCCTCTGGGTTTAAAGGGGAAGTTTTCACGGGAAGTTTAACTTTTAATAATTAACATCCCAGGTGCCAAACCCAGGCTGGGAAAGTGCTTTGTAAATAGAAAAGGATTTACAGCAAGTGAACGACTCAACATCTATTATTTTCTTAGCCTCTGATATGCAATTCTTGCTTTCGGTCCGCCAGGCTGCACACACAGTCAGAGCCACCTCTAAGGGGAAGGGTCATCCTTCAAGGCCCCAGGACACCCAGTGGCTGCAAGGAAGGGGTACCAAATCACCTAATGGGCTAGAGCAGGGGTTCCCAACCCCTGGGCTGGTACTGGTCAGTGGCCTACTAGGAACCCAGCTGCATAGCAGGAGGCGAGCAGCAGGTGAGCAAGCAAAGTTTCATCTGCCTGTCCCCATCACTAGCATTACCATCTGAACCATCATCACCCCTACCCCATCCCATCCGTGGAGAAACTGTCTTCCATGAAACTGGTCCCTGGTGCCAAAAAGGTCAGGGACCACTGGGCCAGAGGCATCCTTGCCTGCAGCACTATCCCTGCCCAAGCCCTCTCCCCCTTTGAGGTATCTTGTGGGAAGCCTGGGACCTTACCTGCCAGCACCTCTGTCCTCTCAAAGATGTTGCCGCCCTGGGCTGTGCTGGACATGGACACCTTGTTGGACACATCCTCGTCCCCATCAAAAGGGGACGACCTCTTGGGGATAACTTCATTCTCCTCCAGTTCCTTGGGTTCGGTGGGAACTCGGCTCCCTGTCTTCTCAGGGATGTAGTTATCTATAGGGACCTGGATGGTGCAAAGAAGAGACCAACACTCAGTGTGGTTTGTGGGGAGGGGGATCCAAGGCAGAGGGTAGGGACATTCAGCCGTGGGGAATGGGTTCTGCCTCTTGCTGGCCAAACCATGTGGTCCTAGAGCAGACATCAGCAACCACCCCTCAACAATCATGCTGTCAAATCCTTACCCTCAACTTTTCTTATGTGTGTTAATTGCTCAGTTGTGTCTGACTCTTTGCGACCCCATGGACTGTAGCCCACCAGGCTCTTCTGTCCATGGAATTCACCAGGCAAGAATACTGGAGTGGATTGCCATTCCCTTCTCTAGGGGATCTTCCCGACCCAGGGATTGAACCTGGGTTTCCTGCATTGCAGGCAGATGCTTTACAATCTGAATCACCAGGGAAGCCCAACTTTTCCAGTAAATCTATCCCCAGTGGGGAATGAATAATGTGACCAAGGGCACAGGGAAGCAGGTGTTCTAGAGTAATACCCTGGAGGGTAGTTTGGCAAAACTGTAGAAACAGTTTGCCCTTCAATGCAGCAGTTTGCCTCTGGGACTCTGTCCTAAGGAGCTAATCAGAGAATTGTGTAAAAGATGCTTGTTATACTGTTGTTGTAGGATGTCAAAAAATCATAAAACACTTTCCCATAGGGCAACTGGGTGAACTCTGCGAAGGTTATAAAATGAAGGTTATAAAAATGAATAGGAGAAACAGTGAGTTACATGGGGAAATACTCATGATCACTGTAAGTGAAAAATACAGTACACAGAACCGTATGTGTAACTTGATATTAATGTTGGGAAATGCCTAGAAATGCAGACAAAAATGAGGCTGGCAGGACTGCCTTGGTGGGCCAGTGGTTAAGATTCCGAGCTTCCAAGGCAGGGGGCCCCCGAGTGTGATCCCTGGTCAGGGAGCTAGATCCCACCTACCGCAGCTAAAGACCTCACAGGGTCCCAAGGGCCACAACCGGGATCCAGTGCAGTCAGATAAATAAATGAAGTAAAAATTAAAAAAGCAAAAGAGACTGGCAACACATCCAAGTGTTTATCACTGAGCGATTATCCCTACAGAGAGGAAGGTCTACCTGTGACCCTTAGCTGTGCCTGTCCCAAGAGTTCAGGGCCACAGATAAAAGCCTTCTTGCAGAATGAGGTCAGACCCAAATTTATTCTGCTTGTCTCAACAGGTGCTGAGAGCGGGAGAGGCCAAAGTGCGGGGCTACTTACCAAGGGTTGCATCACTTCTGGGAAGATCCGGGTGTCCTCTGAGTCATCTGTAAGGTCAGAAAGGCCGTGTGAATGTGAGGTCGGTCACCCCCAGGTCGATGACCCTTACAGCCATGGCTGGTGGGAGTTCTAATTCACAATCGGCCCCCAAATGCTCAACAGGTGATGAGCATTTGTCTGGCATATGTCCGGCAGGTGATCATTCCCACGCCAGTCTCGATCATCTCATCTGTAAAATGGAGCTCCTGAGACCTGCCTCCCTGGTTCTTTCATGGGAATGCTGAGTTGGTCACTGGGCAGATGTTCTGTCAGCTCCAAACCCTTGCTCTTTATAGGTCCCAGGACCAAGAACATCACCCAGGAGGGGTTAGAAATGCAGAATTTCAGGGGCCACCAAATCAAAATCTGGATTTTAACTGGATCCCCAGAGGATTCATTTGAGAAGACTCTAGATTGCAACAGTAAATATTAGAAATTCCAATATGAATGTATTTACTGAGAATGTGGTAAGTGCCCAGGGCTTTTAACTCAGTCTAATCTCCACAACGGTCATTTCTGTTCCCATGTTACAGATTAGGACACCGAGGCTCAGAGGTCACAGAGCGGCAGTTTGAACTCAGGATTATGTGACTCCAGAACTCAAACTTTAAATCGTTACACCACCCCACACAGAGGAGGGAGGCTTCCCAGTAGCTCTGTCTAGCCTGGCAGCCAGGGCCAAGAAGTGACCAAGAAAGACACGGGCCCCTGGCCCTGCCCCAGGAGGCCCGTTCACTGACTCCCAATCCCATCCTTGCAGAAGCAGGGCTTGGTTCTCGGTTCCCACCGGCTCTCCCCACCCTGCCCCCAGGCTCCTGCGCAGCTCTCTTTGCTTTTCAAAGGAAGGAAAACAGGCCACAGTTCAGTTCTCCTCCCAACGCCCACTCCCACCCAATCCTGTCCAAAGGCGGACAGGTTCGGACTGGTTTTCTACTACAAATGGACTCGGAGCAACAAACAACTCACCCGGAAAGGGTCTCAGGGATGGGTTGATCCAGTTACTTTTGTTCCCCCCCTCCGTTTTTTAACAGGGAGGGGCATAATAGGAAAATTCAAGCCCCAAAGTGGGGTCACCCTTGTAAAAGACAGGTTCCCTACAGCCTTGAGCCCCGGGCCGGCCCCCTACTTTCTCCGTACCTAGATCTCCAGAGCCAGACAGCTCAAAGTCATCGGATTCCTGCCCGGGCCCCCCGACGTCCTCGTCGTCTGGTAAGTCTCCGGAAAAGTATCGGCCTTCTAGGAGGTCTTGAGGGTCGATGACCTCAGTTTCTCGGATCTAGGGTGAAAACAGAAGACACATCAACCAGTAGCCCCCCCAGTGCTCTTTAGCAGCCCCCGAACCCTGCAAGGCAGTGAAGTGAGTGTTCAGGAAGGACAGTTGGGGTGCTGGAAGGGTATCAGGCCAGAGCCTGGAAAGCTGGGTTCCTAACTTGCTGTGTGACCTTAGACAAAACCCTTTCGCATCCTGGGCTAATAAAAAAAATGAAGGTGGCATAATCAGAATATAAATATGCCAGATACCCTATACTGAGCACTTGCTATAGGCCAGGACCTGCTCTTAATAACTCTAAAGACCAGTCTTCACCTCCGTTTTACAACCGAGGAAAACTGGGCCCTGAAGACATTAAGTCATTTTCTTTGGGTGACTCGTGGGAGCAGATGGAGTGACGACTGACTTCAGAGCCAGCGTTCCCTGTCCACGCTCCGGGGTTCTCTGATGCTGTCACTGCTGATTCACCCACGGCTGGGAAAGGGCTGCTGGCTCTGGTCTTGCCCCGACCCCAACATCTTTCCCAGCTGAGTCAGACCAGGCTGGGACAGGCAGGGCTGGCTCACTCACGTCCTAGGACAGCCTCGGGTCAGGGCGCTGCCCGGAACCTGGTGAGTCAAGCGTACGTGAGCACACTCGTGTCTTCAGCCTTCCAAACATCTCCTACGGAGCCATTCTGCAGCCGCGTGGTGCGGAGCCCCGTCCCTGCTCTCACGGACTACCTGCTCCAGCACCCCTAAGTACCCCTCCGCTGCCACGGATGGGGGCCCCGGCCGTCCCCAGCTAGAATCTCAGGTCCACCGCCACTGAGAAGCTTTCACAAGGAAAGTATGAAAGATCCAGGAAGGCAGAGAGCTTGCCCCAGAACCTGCAGAACATCAGCCACCCTGCTCCCAAACCCGCAAATTAAGCTGAGGGAAAACAAAGCTCCTTCTAGAGAGTCAGAAATACTTGGGATTTGCACCACCCTCCCAGCTAGCTTCTGGGCTGAGGCTTTGTCTGCCCACAAGAACAGCAGCCCTGGGGCAAAGTTCATTCTTTCACTAATGAACTCAAATATTCAAGTGACTACCATTTCCCGGAAGAGTCAGGGTGGCGAATAAGGTCAACGAACCCCTAGCCCCAAACATTCTTCTTCCCCCAACCCCCTAACTGCAGGAGGTGTGGAGGGGGGCGGGGTCTGCTCAGAACGGCGCAACACCAGCTGGAGGCCAGGGAGGTCCTGCCCTCTCATTTCACAGAAAGGGAAGAATCTAGGCCCTCCTACAGCGACTTGCCTAAGGTCACACGGTGAGTCAGCTTACACACTCAGAGAGGAAAGAGGCCAGGCTCCGTGTCTGACTGCCCCACGCTGTCCTCCACCCAGCGGAGATCTGCTAGTGACAGAGCGGGCCTGGAAAGGAACATCCATCCCTAAGACAAGGTCACCCTCTGTGGGAGAGGCCCAGGCTTCCGGGGAGAGGTGGGTGGAACCAGACCTTCGGGTCTCCTTCCACCCTGTCTGTGTGTCTGTGTGGGGCAGCTGGATTCCCGGGAGGGAGGTCAGGCTGGGAGCGAGATTTCTCCCCTCCCACCACAGAAGGGAGAATCTCCGCTGAACGCTTGGTACACATGGGGGTGGGGAGCGAGAAGGGGTTAAACCCTGGTGAGGGATGACTTCATGACTCGGGAATCAGGAGCTGGGGAGCTGTTGGCGCTGGAATTCCAGCCCCCGCACAGCCCGTGCCTGTGGCTTTAGTTTGGCAGCTCCAGAAGATGGCTCCTCTGAGGTTGCGCAAGCTGCCTGCACCTAGGGCGGGGTCCCTGTGCTCCCATCCGCATCTCCTGCCGCAAATTCCCCCAGGGGCGGCGGTCGGGGGTGAGGGGGCGGCGGGCGGGTGATGGTGGTGAAGAATCAGAAACGGCAGGATCCAGGCAGCTTACCAAACTAAGCACTTAGCTTGAAGTAGGTCCTCCTCAAAGCTCTTATTTGCTGAAACACTGGGGAGGGGGATGGGGTTGGGGGGATGCTCAGAAAATTGAAGTCACTCGCTCAAGATCACCCAGGCAGAAAGTGGCCACTCTGGATAGGAACCCAGGCATAGGTCACCCGAGCCTTTAGCCACATACAGATCAACACACCCATAAACACACGGGTACACGGGGTGTCCGCCTACCTCACCCAGGATGGAGCCTTGTCAAGTGGCAGTCAAACTCAGCCCAGGAGGAAAAGAAGGTAGTTTGGCCACTTGCATATGGAGCCTGGAGGCCAGTTAGAGCTCCATGTTCTCAAGATGGGGGCTGGGGTCCGGACACTGGGCTGTTTCAGGCTGGGCCCTTCCCCTACCTCCTCATCCCCGAGAGCCACGGCTGATTATTTATGGATCCTGCGTTTCTCTTAGTGGGTGAAAGTACTGAGGAGTGTTTCAAAACCACCCCTGGGATTAGCACGTTGATTGCTGGTAGTGGCTACCTCTGTTTTACATCAGGAAATGAAGACCAAGTCCAACAAAACTGAAACCTAGATCGATTCCCAGTTCAGCCATCTTGGGAGTCACCGGGTCATCCCTAAGGCTTCATTATTTTAAATCTGTTCTTTAATTGGAGGAAAATTGCTTCACAATGTTGTGCTGGTTTCTGCCATCCAACAATGCGAATCAGCCATAATTATACATATATCTTCTCCCTCTTGAGCCTCCCTCCCCTCCCCAATTACAACCCTTCATTTTTATACCAGGTTCCTGGAGAGCATAAATGACTTAAGGTCACGCCAGGAATGGTTCAGATCACACAAGGATTAGATCCTATCGGGTACCCATCTTGGCTCTAAAGGCACAGGGCTTGGGACCTCCCCGGTGGTCCACTGCTTCCACTGGAGGGGGCACCGGTTTGATCCTTGGTCAGGAAGAAAGGTCCTGCATGCCTCGTGGCTCGCTAATAAATAAAATCCAATCCTTCTCCAACTCTAGAAGTGGTCTTGCTCTGCCCAAGACTCCCGACAAGAGAGAAATTCCCAAGAGGGCAGAAGTCCTAAGACTACACCAGCAAGGCAGAACCATGCTCCCTGGGATTGTGGGCAAGCATCCCTTTATGTGAGTGTGTATGTGTGTGCATGTGAGTGTGTGTGGAGGCCAGGTGCCAACAGCCCTCCCTTCCCCCCACCCTCTTTTCAGACTAGGCCCATTCAGTCTGGGGTGACTTTGAAGAACCAGGCCACCCAGCAGCCAGGCCCCACCCTGACCAGAGAGGGACCCCACCCTGCTCTTAGCTCACCCCATCGTTACCTGGGGAGCAGGTGTCCACATGTGTGTGCACGCACAGGCACCCTCTCTGGGCCCTCAGGTCTCTCTGTATCTTTGTCCTACTTGTGCACACACAACAGCAGTCAAGAACCGAGTAAGCAGACCCTGGATGCTTCCTTAGACTCTCCACAGAAAAGAAGAAGGATAGGGATTTCCCTGGTGGTCCAATGGCTAAGACTCCGAGCTCCCAATGCAGGGGGCTCAGGTTCAACCCCTGGTCATGGAACTTTACGTCACAACTCAGAGTTGGCATGCCACAACTAAAGATCCCGCAGGACACAGCAAAGATTGAAGATCCCACATGCCACAGTGAAGAGCGGGTGCAGCCAAATAAACAAAAAAAAGGGTAGGTGTATTTTGTGCTATTGAGACTAACGCCTACCAACAGAAGGTAGCTGAGGCCCTCCCTAGCCCAACCACCTCATTTTATTACACAGCAAACAGATTAAAAGATAAGCACCCTTGCCAAGGTCACCGAAGCAGAACTGGACTTAGAACCTAGGTCTCTTTAAAAAAAGTTAAAAGAACCTAGGTCTCTGGGCTTCTAGGCTGGATTTGTCTTCCTTTCCCACTTCTAGGTCTTCCCTAGAAGTCCTAGTCTGGACGCACAACGGAAATCAACATCTGAATAAGCAGGCTCTGGTAGGCACCTGGGGTTGGGGCTGGATGCTTTCCGCTAGAGGTTTCAGGGCATGGCAACCCACTCCAGTATTCTTGCCTGAAGAATCCCATGGACAGAGGAGCCTGGTGGGCTATAGTCCATGGGGTCACAAAGAGTCTGACACAACTGAAGTGACTAATCACATACGCAGAGGTCTTAACAAATCCGTGGGCAGCTGCTGCCACTCCAGCTGTAACCCCCATCCAGTCCTGAGGTGAGGGGCATGAAGCTAGGAAAGTCGCCAACCCTATTGCAAAGTCTTGCAGCGTCAGTCCCCCGGGAAAAACACAGGGGCTGGGGTGACCGCAGTATCCTCGACACGCTGGGCACCACGCTGGGTTTCCTCCGTCCAAGCTCATTTGATTGGCACAACAGCCTGGTGAGGTGCTCTACCCGTGTGGCCGGAAAGTGACTTCCCCTTGAGTCACTTGTGCGAAGGCACTCAGCTAGAAAGCAACAAAGCTGGGATTCAAACAGATCTCTCGAGATCGAGCCAGAGCCAGACTTCTCACTGCCACCCACGCTACCCCTCTCTACCCCATCACCACCATCCACAGCACCCGCTGCCAGGCCAGGGCTCCAGGGCACCCCTTCCCTTGCCCAGGGAGTCAACAAAGGTAAAAGTGATACTGCTCACACAAAAGAGAGACTTTGGCTGGGGTACTGGGGAGAAGTTCAGGGTCAGAACTTGCTTAACTGTGAACTGGTGGGAGGCGAAGAGGCGAGTCTCCTCCTGCCTGTCTCTTCCCCAGGGAAGGAAGTCACCCCCAGGAGTCAGGGACACGCTTCTTCCAGGGTGGGGGCGGGGGGGGGTGGTGATATGAGAAGGACAGCTGGGCAAGTTAAATTCTGGAAGTAGGAATGCTGAGGACTCTGGGCCCTAACTGCTGAATGCAGGGAGGGGTCCTGGCAGGCCCCAGAAGGGGCCACTGATAAGGCACGGTGGTCCTCTCCCACCCTCCTTCAGAACGGTTAGATGTCCCCCGGAATGAGCAAAACCTGGCTGCCTCAATCTGGACTCAGCATCCTGGCAGAAATGGGAAGATCCACCACCAGCCTGACAT